TAATGTTAAGCAGTTTCAGTTGGTGCTGTTTTGTTTTCCTTCAGTAAACCCTGAAGCACTGAGATAACATGGCAAAACTGACTCAGAACTCAAACAAAATTAATTTTAAAGCAATGCTATAAATATATTAAGGCTACAACACCAAACACTCAGAAGTTAAGTTAAATGCTGGAATTCAAATTCTCTATGCAAACGTTTTTTAATTTCTTTGTGGCTTATAAAAAAACCCAAAAAAATCTTCAGCAACACAGAAAAAACCTTTGATTGAATGAAGAATAAACCCCAGTTTTCCTGCATGTTATTTCAACACTTTGAACATTAAATACCTTCCTTTCAGCTTTTACTTTGTTCTTTTTAAATATTATAACTTTCACATAGCAAGGAGTTCTATGAAATTGTGTAATTAAAGATTCTATGAGGATGCAAATGTATACAGAGACCAAGCACAGGACTAATCCTTAGGAAACCAGGAAATGCACATTGGAGACGTTCTGGTAAGGAGTGTCCTGTTGGTGAGTCAGGTTCAGCTGTGTCCCCTCACAGCTCCTTGTGCCCCCAGCCTCCTTGATGGGCTCAGTGTGAGGAGCAGAAAAGGCCTTGATGATGTCCAAACACTGCTCAGCAAAAACATAAACATCTATGGGTTATCAACGTTGTTTGCAGCACAAATTCAAAATATAATTCCATGCTGGCTGCAGTGAAGAAAATGAATTCTACCCCAACAAAAATTAGCACAACCTCTTGGTTGAAAAATGGATCTACCTTGCTCAGAATTTCCTCCAAAATTAACTCTGACATGAACCAAGTTAGGAACTAGTCCTTTTTTTTCTTTCCTGCCAAAAACTGAAGCAATACAAAACTGGGATGAGTTAAAATAGAGTAACCATAGGAACAAAATGTCTATATTTGCTAGCCCTCACTGCATAACAGAACAGGTTATTCACAAGTCATGAGGAAAATATGTGTTTTGCACAGGCACAGAGGAACTCGGATTAAGCAGAGCTGGGAAAACTTAGATGGTTTGGTATGAGATTACATTCTCCCAGTGCACTTGTCAAACAACTTTGACAAAAGAAATCAGTCTGCTTTTGAAAGCTGAATAACACAACCACAAAAGAGAAAGCAGAATGATGTGACTGGAGATTAGACAGCATAAAGGCATGTGACCCTGCAGACATATGCAAAACCTTCCATAGGTCTTCCTAAGCTTGAAATGACATATTCAGACATAAGTCTGAATCACTGGATTCACACTAATCAAGAGATTATATAAAGGAAAACACTTTCTTAAACATCTTGAATATTATTATAAAAGTGGCACCCTTAAAATTCTAGACACCTCAAAAGGAGAGCACACAAGCAAATTTAGTAGGATATTGCTGGATAAAATGCTTGGACAGATTTCCATATATTGCAATACTTTAGGTGTTCTCTGAAGTACAGAAGTTGCTTTGGTGCAAATACATGTTAGAAAGCATTTCCATGGCATCTGAATGTAAGAGGGTTTCAGCCTAAAAGGCACATCCCGTAGTATTTATACTCTACCACAACTATTTATTAATCTGAGAAAAATCCAGAAAGTTACATATTATGTCTGAGTGTAACTGCCACACTTAATCAGGGCAGTGGTAAAGAGCCATTAGGCTGCCCGTAGTATTTATACTCTACCACAACTATTTATTAATCTGAGAAAAACCATAAAAGTTACATATTATGTCTGTAACTGCCACACTTAATCAGGGCAGTGGTAAAGAGCCATTAGGCTGCTCTATGGAAGCAGACAACCAAAGCAGCTGTCAGATCACTGAAATCAGAGGCACTGTGCAAAGAAAGGAACTCAGGGGAGCATTTTGGTGCACAGGCACTGCATACAGCCATACGTGTTTGAGAGAAAGGAAGAGAAATGCATTGAGAAGCACCCCAAAATCCAGCTTGAAGACAGCACAGAAAACAATCAGCCAAAGTAAGTACCAAGAAGGTGACCCAGACGTAAGTGCAGGACTCTCAAGCCTGAGCGCTGGCTGAAATCCAACTTTTTCAGTGGCTTGGAATGGTGAGCAAATAACCTCACCCTTACAGTCTGATTTCTCCTGTGGGCTGAGCAGCAGCTCATTTATACACCCTTTCATGTTGTTGACACCACGATTAGTTTTTTCCACCTAATTAAATAACCTGCAGGATCCTGTATTTTGGCCAATTGCTTGGGTCAGAGCTGGAGCACCGGGACTGAGAAGGGCAGAGTCCTTTAAGACATTGCACCAATGCATGTACTGATCCAGATGCTGCAGGACCTGCAGCAAGACAAGCTGCAATTTTAATTCTTTGGCGTTGCTACATGTTTTACATGTGTACTTAATGTATCTTCTTGTCAGAATACTGAAAACTCTGAAAAACATAATGCTACAACAAAATCAAGCCAGTGGACCCCAATTCAATCATATTTGCTTGTCTGGGTTAAAACTGCAGGATAACCAATGCTGCATTAAATACAGCATAAGGATTTCTGATTAAATGTGTTAATAGCTCTAAGTATTGGAATATTAATTCACGCTAGCCAGTCTATTTCAGATGCTCAACTTGGAGAAGGGCAGGTTAGGCAACTTAAACTTCAGTTCCCCAAAGTCAGATGGATGTTAAACTAGACAGCAGTCTGGGGCACATCTAAAAGCCAAAAGAAAATGGGAAGAAGCTGCACCTGAGATGAGTTTTTGCAATTGAAAGAACATTCTTTTTATTCCTCAAATAAACAGCCATTCTTTAGAGGAAGGAGATTTGTCTGAATTCATGCTTACATCAGTGCATAATTTTAACATGTAGTTTCTCTGGATATTTATATCCTCAAAAATGGATCAGCTCCAAGAAGAAAGTTTTAGAAGTCTGGTCTGGAACACATGGGATGCAGATCATTCTCCTGAGATGTGGAAGATCTGCATTTAACTCCCTGCTCCCAATCAGGTCATTCAGGATATAAAAATACCCGCCCTGCTAAATGCTGCAATCACAGAGCTGCTCGGTATAATGAGACGTGTACATATCAAAGCCTTTATGCAGGATATGTAAATGTATGTATAAAGGTGTCTCTTGCAGTGCCCTTTGAACATCAGCCGAGATTTCCCGGATGAACTGGCAAAGACCATGCTCAGGCTGAGAATCCCAGCTTTGGGATTCAGGCTTTGGGCTGTTACAAACCCAACAGCACTGGCCTACGCCTCATGTCTACTATTAGCACTTAAATCCTTAAGTAACTGCATAGCTATGTAGGTCTGCTGAGCCGCTTGGCTTCGGTCCCACGGCTCTTTTTACCCTGTGCAAGTGCACAGACCGAGAGGCAGAATTTAATTAACTCCCAGACTTATACCTTCTGCGTGAGAACCGGTGTTACTTTCCCTGAGCAGGCGAAACGCGTTACCACAGCATCCCTAAGCTGTGATTCATCCGGCTACGCCCGGCAGCGCGCCCGGATCCTGCCCGGCGAGCAGGGCAGGGGCAGCGGTGCCGCCCTCCCGGCCGAGGGCACGGCAGCGGCTGCACGGCCGCACACAGAGCCGCACACCTCCGGGGCCGCACACAGAACTACACATCTCCACAGCCGCACACAGAGCCGCACACAGAACTACACATCTCCACAGCCACACACAGAGCCGCACACCTCCACCTGCGCACACAGAGCTCCACACCTTCCTGGACTCCTGCACCCCCGCACTCCTGCACAGCCACGCACCTTAAATCCTTAAGTAACTTGAATCTTTGAGCTGGCACAACTGCACCTGCATACCTGAGCACCTGCACAAACACACTCCGTCCGGCACACTCCCGCACCCGCACCCCGCACTCTCCAATCCTCACACACCTGCCTCCCGCACACCTGAGCGCCCTCACACACCCGCACCCCGCACACCTGAGCGCCCTCACACACCCGCACACCTGAGCGCCCTCACACACCCGCACCCCGCACTCTCCCACCCTCACACACTCGCACCCCCCACACCTCAGCGCCCCCGCACAGCCGCAGGCCGGCGCACCGGCCGCGCAGGAGAGACAGGGGTTCAGCACGGGGACACAGAGAGGGTGACCGCCGCCCCACACCCCAGGCCCGGGCCGTTCCCGGCGGGAGCGGGGGGTCATCCCGGGTTTTCCAGGCCCTTCCCGGCCGCTCAGCGGGGGGGGGGGGGGGGAAAAACCCCCCCCCCCCCCCCCCCCCCTCCAGGGGCTTGGGGCCCCGGCCCCGCCCCCGCCCCTTCTAGGACGTTCGGAGCGGGGCTCGGCAGCGAGTGACGTCATCCGGCACTCGCGCAACAGTCCCCGGCCCCGCCCCTTCAGCACCACCCGCGCATGCGCCCGCCTCCTTCCTTCTTCCCCCTCCCCTCGGATTCCCGGCCGAGCCAATCGCTGGGGGTGCAGAGGGGCGGGGCGCGGGGAGCGCGCGCGCTCGCGCCCATTCAGCCGCCGGCCCCGCGGCGCCTGTCGCGGACGGCTGCGATTGGCTGCGAGCGGCACGGCCCCGCCCCTCGGTCGGCTTGTTCCGCCCCCGCCTCGCGGCCCCCTCCCCGCGCCCCCCCGCGCCGGCGGTGAAGGTTCCCGATGGTTCTGGAAGGAGGCGGATCCCGCCGTATATAAATGGGGCGGGCTGTGGGGAGCGCGCACTAGAGAGGCTACAGCGGAGCGTTCGGGCTGTGTCACAGCGTCAGTGAGGAGAGCAGCGCCCCATCCCCCTGCCAAGGTGAGCGGTGGGGGCGGCAGCCGGCGGTGGATCGGTGCAGGGAGCGTTTTCCGACCGAGCCCCGCGGCTCGGTGCCTGGGGGCGCGGGGCTCGCCTTCGGGGTTGCGTGGGGAGTGAGGGTGGGGTGTGCTGTGGAGCCGCGTGGCGCAGGTCGTGCTTCTCTCTGTGCTTCTTTAGGTCCTGGGAAAGGTGATTTGGGTTTGCAGTTTGGGTATGGCTGAAAGGGAGGTTGGGGTTGGTGATTCTGAACGCAGCTTGCTAAATTTGCGTTCTGGTAGGAATGGCGGTGGGGAAGCCGAGCGGCTCCCCGGGGGGGTTCCGCTATGGCAGCGGAGCGGGGCCGCAGAGGGCGGTCGGGGAAGGCTGCTCCTGTCCCGCGGTGCAGCTGCAGCGCCCCCTCCGCCCCGCAGCGTGCGCGGGAGGGCTGCGGGGGCTGAGCCGAGCACGCCCCGGTGCGGAGGTGCCGGGTGGCCGCAGAGGTTCGCTGTCAATGAATGGGCCCCCGGCCATGAGAGTGCGAGATGGAGGAGCGGGGGGGGAGAGCGCCGGGCAGGGAAAGCGGCGGGGGAAGGAGGGGGGAAAGGAGTCGGGAGCAGGAGAAAAGAGCGGCGGCGGTGGGGGAAGAAATTGGCAGAGGGAGAAAGAACGGAGTACTGCGGGGGAAGGAATGAGGGTTAGAGGAAAGGAGCGGAGTGCCAGGAGGGAAGGGAGCGGGGGGGCGAGAGTGGGGGCGGCAGGAAGGAAGGAGCGGGAGAACAGCGAGATGGAGGAGGGAGAGGAAGGGGGATGGGGAGAACGCCATCCCCGCGGGGCGGGGGCACGAACGCCGCCCCTGGGGGGGCAGACGGGCGGCTGTGCCCGGTGAAGGACGAGGATTTATTAACGCAGATGTTTGTCCCGGGAAGCGAGTCCGGCTGAGCGGTGTTGGTGTCTAAGTCAGAGGTGGGGATAGCTGTGCGTGCAAGGGAATAGGGGGATGGGGCTAGGAGAGATATACTCCAAATAAAGATTCTGGGTATTTCTGTGAAACAGGAAAATCAAAGTCGTATATAAATCCCTAAATCGGAGAACAGTCTTATCTCACCGTAGGTGCTGTAGGGTAGAATGGGTGTAAAGCAAGCCTATAGTAAAAGTCTTGTCAGCTATTTTCTGCATTCCTTAACGCTTCCAAATGGTTTCTGCCCGTAAATAAGATCTGGGAAGGGCTTTTTTGTGTGTGTTGCTCTGGTGCTGAAAAGACGTGGTTAAGAAACTTGATCTCAGAATGCCATTGTCACTGCCTGTAAGGGGATATGTTAGGTAAGCTGTTCCGGATGGAATTTCAACTCCTCCCTCTCCTTTCACAGATGCCGGAAGCTGTGCAAACTCAGGACCAGCCAATGGAGGAGGAGGTGGAGACCTTTGCCTTTCAGGCTGAGATTGCTCAGTTGATGTCTTTGATCATCAACACTTTCTACTCCAACAAGGAAATCTTCCTCCGTGAGCTGATCTCCAATTCCTCAGATGTAAGTACCAAAAGTACTTGGGTGAGTTCTGACACTTCCTGAGATTGTCTAGGATTAGTCAGGGAATGTTAAAGTATGTCACTTTCCTTACAGGCTCTGGATAAGATCAGGTATGAAAGCTTGACTGACCCAAGCAAGCTGGATTCTGGGAAAGAGCTGAAAATTAACCTGATTCCAAACAAGCACGATCGCACCCTAACCATTGTGGATACTGGCATTGGGATGACCAAAGCTGACCTGGTCAACAACCTCGGTACCATTGCCAAGTCTGGCACCAAGGCTTTCATGGAAGCCCTGCAGGCAGGGGCCGATATCTCCATGATTGGGCAGTTTGGCGTTGGCTTCTACTCGGCCTACCTGGTTGCTGAGAAGGTGACAGTGATCACCAAGCACAACGATGACGAGCAGTACGCTTGGGAGTCCTCAGCTGGAGGGTCCTTCACTGTCAGACTGGACAATGGTGAGTGTGCAGCGTTCACCTTCCAGAGATGCTTGGCATAGCCTGCCTTGGAAAAGGCAGGAGACAAAAGGAATAATACAAGTAATGTGCCACATCAGGCATAGGTCCATCCAGGTCATAACTTGTAACTTCTGTTGGCATAATTTGATACATAGGGAATGCCCAGGTAAATGGTGCATTAAGCTTTCAAAGTTCACACATGGAAAACTACTTGTAACACCTCAACAACTTTCTATGCAGAGTCTTTAAAGGCTCTGAACAGAGTAGTAGACATCTTCTGAAGCTTGTTTGAAATAAATGCAGTAAACTTGAGAAAGCATAACCTAGGGTGTTTATATACACAGAAGCTGAATTTTGCTAAGGCAAAAAAATGGCTGGTAGAGCAATGTGGCTCTTAAAGAGTTAATCATTAAATCTGTTCTGCTACAGCAAAGTAAAATGTGCACTCCATTCTAGGCGAACCTCTGGGCCGTGGAACAAAAGTCATCCTGCATCTTAAAGAGGATCAAACCGAGTACCTGGAGGAGCGGCGAATCAAGGAAATCGTGAAGAAGCACTCTCAGTTCATTGGCTACCCCATCACACTCTTTGTACGTACCTTGCTTGAAATGCTAGTCAGTATTGGCAGTTTCACAGGTGGGAGTTCATGTAAGAAGGAGCAGTCAGTCTTTATTTGGTTAGTTCAATTAGCATCTCTCAGATGCTACGTAGAGGAAGCTGAGGAAATGTCGTTCTGTTACTTAAAGTGGTGTTTCACAGGGCTGTGTTAAAAAACCCAACATTTTCCAAGCCAGTAGTATCCAAACAGTTAATCCAGGTGTGTTGTTAGGAGTCATTCATGTAATGAAACTGAGCAGTAAGAACTTGGCTCATAGGATGTGGAAACACCACTTGAGTTAGCACCCAGAGTGAGAGTCCTTGGAGTGTAGGAGGGAGAGCTTGACATCACGTTCTTGAAGTTTTCTGGTTTCATGAGGCTGCAAGGGGTGCTTCAGAACTGTTAGTTACTAAATGTACAGCTTTTGCAATTCAAGCACTGATGCTGTTTTGTAGGTGGAGAAGGAGCGTGATAAGGAGGTGAGTGATGATGAGGCTGAGGAAAAGGAAGAGGAAAAAGAAGAGAAGGAGGAAAAGACAGAAGATAAACCAGAGATTGAGGATGTTGGCTCTGATGAAGAAGAGGAGAAGAAGGATGGAGATAAGAAGAAGAAGAAGAAGATTAAGGAGAAGTACATTGATCAGGAAGAGCTCAACAAGACCAAGCCCATTTGGACCAGGAATCCAGATGATATCACCAATGAGGAATATGGAGAATTCTACAAGAGTCTGACTAATGACTGGGAGGACCACCTGGCTGTCAAAGTAAGTTTTTCTCTTGAGACACAGCTGCAGTTGGTGTATCTGTAGATACATATATATGTACAAGCTATAACATACAGCACTGCAGCTGGGAGGTTGCTTAACATGCTGCTAAACTCATCTTTGTGCATTGGTGTTAACAGTCTGGATTGAGCCTGCAGTCAGGAAGTGCAGGTGCCTTCCCAGTTAATAGTTTAGTCACCATGTCTGATTGAGCTTGAAACTAGATTGCATATAAATATAAAAACTGATAAGGTTTGTAATTTGTCATCAGAAAGGTTTTGTGCCTCTTGTTTGGTGATGGGAAGCGCTATAAGAACACATTTGTGTTCTAACTCTCAGTATACTGTGTAAGGAGCTGAATGTGTTCTGAATTGGTCTGCAGACCTCATAACACTAACTCGGTGTGTTTGAGCAAAGTGCTTGTTCCTCACCAATCTCAGCTGCTCTGTAATCTGGTCTCCCATGGGTTGCAGTTTGTGTTCTGCATTTGAAGAGCTCTTAAGTGCTCATCGCAGTGGAACCAGGCAAACTGACTAAAACGAACATCTTGTTTTCTCACAGCACTTCTCTGTGGAAGGGCAGCTGGAATTCAGAGCTCTCCTGTTTGTCCCACGGCGTGCTCCCTTTGATCTGTTTGAAAACAGGAAGAAGAAGAACAATATCAAACTGTATGTGCGCAGAGTTTTCATCATGGACAACTGTGAGGAGCTGATCCCTGAATATCTGAGTGAGTATAGTTCTGTGCTAAGTGTTTCCTGAAAAGTTAGAAGAACTGCTTAGCTATTTTGTAGTTTCCTTTTTTATGTAAAGAAATTTGGAAGAGGGAAGATGGCAGTTCTGAACAGCTGTTGAGCAGTTGAAAGTGTTGCTTAAGTTCATGTTTATTGGAGTATGGTAGAAACAAAGTGATCAGTTTCTAATTGGCAGAGGCACATGTCAGTAGAGTGGTTGGTAATACTTGTTTGAGACTAACAAAGGTAATTCTGTTGTATTGCAGATTTCATGAGAGGTGTGGTGGACTCTGAGGACTTGCCTCTGAACATTTCTCGTGAAATGCTGCAACAAAGCAAGATCCTGAAAGTGATCCGGAAGAACTTGGTGAAGAAGTGCTTGGAACTTTTCACTGAGCTGGCTGAAGACAAGGAGAACTACAAGAAGTTCTATGAGCAGTTCTCCAAGAACATCAAGGTTTGTAGCCTTTCTCCTGAACAGTGCTGACACTTGCAGTTGTGGGTTGGTGTTGTGCCTGAGCTACTAAACTACCACAGTTGAGGTAGTTTAGTTCCTGAAGGAGTTTCTTACTGATTTCTCTTTCTGCTCTTCGTAGCTTGGCATCCACGAGGACTCGCAGAACCGCAAGAAGCTGTCAGAGTTGCTGAGGTACTACACATCTGCCTCTGGTGATGAGATGGTTTCTCTGAAGGATTACTGCACTCGGATGAAGGAAAACCAGAAACACGTCTACTACATTACTGGTGAGTTGGGACCTGAAATGGTCAGAAAGGCCAACACCATGTGTAGGTTTACCTTTTGGGGGGATATATACCTGCTTTACAGGGTTCCCAGTTCCCTTGCTTGGCAGGAATGGGAAGTGTTTTTTACCTGGGATTCCAGGAAATAGAAACTTGATTCCAAATCGGTTACAAGAGCATTAAATGTTGGAGTGTTAAACAGTTTGAGTGTCCTTTGGGCTGTTGGTGCCCTTTTTTTCCTGTGGATGTGAAGCACCACAGGTGTTGTATGGGCTCTGCAGAAGCTGAACAAGCTCTGTTACAGTGCTGAGGTTGATCTGTGGTGGCGTTTGTTGCAGGTGAAACAAAGGATCAGGTGGCCAACTCTGCTTTTGTGGAGCGTCTCCGCAAACATGGGCTGGAAGTGATCTACATGATTGAGCCTATTGATGAGTACTGTGTGCAGCAGCTGAAGGAATTCGAAGGCAAGACCCTGGTTTCTGTAACAAAAGAGGGTCTGGAGCTTCCAGAGGATGAGGAAGAGAAAAAGAAACAGGAAGAGAAGAAAGCAAAGTTTGAAAATCTTTGCAAGATAATGAAAGATATCCTTGAAAAGAAAGTAGAAAAGGTAAAAGTAGTACTTGGTTTACCTGTGTGTAAAAGTCAGTTTAAGATGAATTTAGGGTAAATCAGTAGTACTTGCTGAAATGCTTAAATGGCGAACTTGGCTTTGTATTCCCTGTGCAGGTTGTTGTGTCCAATCGTTTAGTTACTTCTCCTTGCTGCATTGTAACAAGTACGTATGGCTGGACTGCCAACATGGAGAGGATCATGAAGGCACAGGCATTAAGGGACAACTCCACAATGGGATACATGGCAGCAAAGAAACACCTGGAGATCAATCCTGATCATTCCATCATCGAAACACTGAGGCAGAAAGCAGAGGCTGATAAGAATGACAAGTCTGTGAAGGATCTTGTCATCTTGCTGTATGAGACAGCACTCCTGTCCTCTGGCTTCAGCTTGGAGGACCCTCAGACACATGCCAACCGCATTTACAGAATGATCAAACTTGGGCTGGGTAAGTTGCTGAATCTGTGCTGGCTCCCGTGAACGTGGGGTGTATTGCCTTGGTCCTGCGTAGTAGTGTGGGAAATGAGCCCTCAGGTGGCTGCAGTAGTGTGGAAAGGTTTGGGTTGTGCTGTCAGCATTAACGGGCGTGTGTTCCCTGCACAGGCATCGATGAAGATGACACTGCTGCAGAAGAAGCCAGTCCAGCTGTCACCGAGGAGATGCCGCCCCTTGAAGGAGACGATGACACATCGCGCATGGAGGAGGTGGATTAAGCGAGTTTACAGGAACTCATGAATGTTTCCTTGGCTAATATGAATAAGTTATATTTTGTATATTATGAATGTTACCTGCCAAAAAAAATCTTTGACACTTTGTCTGCATTCCCTCTTTATATTTATTTTCGAAGATGTTATACCTTTATTTTTGTTACATTGCTTTTTCAGCTGATGTGAGATAAAAATGCCATTGAGGGAATATTTTCTTTAACACTGTACAACCCTAAACAGGCAAGTGAGGAGTAGTTATTTTTGTCTGTATTAGCTGGTTGCAGGTGGCAGGGTTTTTGACTTATTCTTAATTGCCAGAAATGTGGAAAGAAGTAACGAAGATGGGAAGACATCAGGGTGTTCAAGTTTGTTTAGTGTTACTCAGCTCTTCAATTCTTAAGTGTCTAACATACAGTACCTAGTAACTAGGTATCTAGGAGAGCTGAATCTCTTGGGGAAGCTTTAATCCTTCTGCTCCTAACAAGGTCTTGATGTTTAAAGTTGTTTTTTATACTGTTCAAGGATTCTGGATTGCACTCTACCATAGAATAGAATCCACTGTAAATCTCTATTGTGACTTATGCAACTCTGCATGTACAGTTCAAACCTAGAACTGTAAGAATAAAAGTGTTAAGAATTGAGCTGTGTCACTGACTTGTCTGTTCATACTGAAACAAAACTCCTCTGCCTCTGCCCACGTGAGTTGCTGCTGTGAATCCTGAGCTCCAGCTGCTGCCCTGCTTGATGTGTAATGGTGTGGGGCATGCTTGGGGATCCCACTGCACAGCCGGTGCCACACCAGAGCAGGAAGGGCCTCTGGAAAAGTCATTGACTCCAAGCTGGGGTGTCATTCATGTGGATGGTTCAGCAATTGTTCTGAAGTCTGGGTGACTGGAACTGCAGCCCTGTTCCTTGGTGCTGCTGGGAGGTGATAAAGAACTGTTACCTGGGCAGTTGCCAGTAACACATCACAGCATGCCAGGGAACTGGGTGCTTGTGCTGCATTCTCTATCCGTGGCATTTGTCTTGGAGTAGCAAAGAGAAATTTTTTGGAAGCTGCTCCCTTGAGCAGTTTGGCCTTGGTGCCTGTTGGGTGCCCTTTTGCTGACTTCAGGCAGCTTGTATTTGGTTCAATGTCTTAAAATTCAATTAACCGATTTGGGAGGTGGGGGGGTTTAAGGGGCAAATTCTGACCAGCCTGCCCTGCAGGTTTTCTGTCCATTTGTTCTGCTCCATGATACAGGAATTCCCAGTATAAAATAATTCACTTATATAGTACACTAGTGTGTTGGGTGTTCTTTTTGTAGTAAGGTGAGAAGATGGAGTTTCTGGTGCTAGCTGTATTTCACAAGTACCTAAACTCAGTTTCATGCAAACCAATTCAAAATAGCTTGCACAACTGGTTAGTAAGGAGATGTTTATTTCAAATCAGCACTTGGGGCAGGAGAGCCCAACCCCTGTTTTGTGGATACCCTGCAAGCTGAGGAATTCAAGTGGTGTTCCTGTATGTCAGTTCAATAGACTGGGGTGATCACATGGCTCCAAATCTGAATCTGTATCAAGGATGAGAAGAAGATGGATATGAAAAATCAACTGCTTCAGTGCTGCTTACACAGCGGCTGAATGGGTGTGACAAGTGGGGTGTTGGTCTTCCACACCTCCCCTTGTGTATCATGACATGAAATATCCAAAATCGTTTCACATTATGGGTGCCTCATAAAAGTCTGCAGAAGAGCCTGGTGCCTGCACGCCAGTGAAAGCAGCCCTGTCAAAGCAAGGACATCAATTCCTTGGTCAGCGGGGCAGGAGCTGTGGCTCCCCAGAGCCCTGCCTGGGGGCTGTGTGAGATGTGCTTTGATCTCAAGCGTGCTGTGCTGTGCCTCGCAGGGGCTCTCAGCTCAGCCTGGGTGAGATGTCCCTGTGTTCCATCACCCCTCACAGTGATGGATGTACCGCTGCTGTTACAACAAAGATGGCATTAAGCCAGATGCAGAAAGGGGAATTACAGTTTCCAATGTGTGCACCACTATTGATTTCCAGTTTGGTGCGTGGGTGACAGAAGCAATGATCAGCAGGAAAAGGCTTCCTTCTGTAACCTTCAGTCTTGGAGGTTATCAAAGAGCAGACTTGAGCAAGCTTTAGGTATTGCTTCAAGACCTCAGTATCAAACAGGATTCAACAGTATTGTATCAAAACTAAGAGATATCCCAAGGTATGTGTGACTTGTGACCAAAATCTATTCTACAAGATCTTTCATAACGTGTAAAAAAATGGTGAAAATCTCTTCCAGTTAGTAACACCAGGATTTAAAATTTACAGTGATAATGCTAAAGATTTTTCCACTTGGTCAGCGATGATACAAGTCTTAACCTCTCTTGAAAACTAATTTATCGCTAAGAGAATAATTCAGGTGAAACTTTCATGTTATCTCCAGTATTTCTTGCCCTGAGAATGTGTTGGATGTTTTTGAATCATTCCCTGCATTACACTGAGCAGCCAGACCATAAGAAACCTGGACTCAAGGGAAATCAGAGCTTGCTGGGGCTGGCACAAGTTCTGTGCAGGGCCAAGAGTGAGGCACAGCACTGAGCAGTGGGAAATGATGGGAATGAACCCTGGAGTGAGTGTTCTGCACCTCTGGGACCCTCGAGCCACCTCCCTGTCCCCACTGCAGCCGGTGGCATCCCCTGTGTGCCCTGGGAGGGGCACCCCCGAGGTGTCCCCTGGGATGAGTTGTGTGGCTGTACCTGCTGTGGGCTGTGCTCTCCCTTGCAGCCACCATTTCATCTGCAGCCCAAGCTGGCCACGGAGCCCGGGCCTTGCTGCAACAGCTGCTGCTTGTAAAGAGCCCCGTAGCTAATTTTGGGCAGCCTTTTGTAGGAGTAATGACTCCCAGCCCTGTGTTTGGGTGAAGCACGATGGTCATTTGTGCTCATTGAGCCCAGCTGGTGCTGCAGGCACTAGCACAGCCTCCTTAGCTCCCACTTCAGCCGAGGGAGGTGCTGTGCGGTGGGGAGTGAGATTTTAGTTGCTATGTTTTGAAAATGGTTGGAGATTCTGAGGAGAAGGAATAAACATCAGATGGTTTTAGTCTGGGCAGAGAAGGTAAGGAGATGAAAAGGGAGATGTCAGAGGAAAAAAGAGCTGTAAGCAACAGGGTCCAGAAACAGGGTGAAGGCTTGTGAGCTGCTCCTGATACAGCTGCTGTCACTGTCACCCCCACTGGGACTTGTTCCTGGTGCCTTTTCAGAGCAACAACCCACTGCTGGCTTTAGAGTGAGATGTTTGTTTCGCTGAGGTTTTTATACAGTACCTTTTGCACTGTGCAGAAAGATGCAAGAAAGCCAGCTAGGAAAGAGGTAATGGCAAGAAAAGGAATTTGATTTGGAAAAAAAGTAAAGATAGTTCCTCATTTCCTATAAAAAGAAAAGAAAGGGAATGGAGATATGGCTTTTAAAGGGTCAAATCAGATCTGCTTCTTTGTGAAAAATAGACCTGATGCCTAGCTCCAGTACAAACAGCACCTGCAGTTCATACTAGACCTTAACAGTAAAAATACTGTTCCTGGTATTTAAAAACAGTAAAATTGCTGTGCTGGATTGTAAGTGATTAAGAAGGTGCCCAGACAGCTTTGTGTGTCCAGCTACAACTGTTCCTCTGCTACAGGGAGATCATCTGCTCCAGCAGATCGCAGGAAGAAACATCCTTGGTCACCCTGGCTGCCTCTGAGCAGGGGCTGCCCTTGGCTGTCGGCTCTTCTGTCAGCCTCAGGGTCGTGTGAAGGACAAGGGGCTCCAGAAAATAAACTGGTGAGAGCAGAGGGGAAGGTCACCAGGCTTTGCAGACTTATAGATATATTTATATATAATATACATGTATGTGTGTATATTTTATATACAGATAGGAAATGCAGTGAGTGAAAGAGTGCAGGCCCACAGGGAGAGCAGCCTGGAGCCTTGCAGCGGCACAAAGGATTTTCTTTCACGGGAGGGTTTCGCTCTGGAGTCTTCTTGCGGAATTCCCGGTGCTGGGAAGGAGCAGCTCCGCAGGTGGGGGCGGGTGAGCGGGGCTGTGCGAGGCGACGTGCGGGCGGCGGGCCCTGCCCATAAAGCCGGGGCGGCGGGAGGCGCCGGGGCCGGGATGGCCTCGGCCGGGCGGAGGCAGCGGCGCAGGAGGAGGCGGGAGGCCGGACCGGCCATGGAGGGTACGGCAGGGAGGGAGCCCTGTGACAGAGCCCTGAAGGGGATGTGTGAGTGTACAGGGACTGCATTTTGGGAATGGGGGACTGGCGTATGGCACAGCTTTGCGTTTATCCCCCTCCAGCCTGGTTGGGTGTCTTCAGCACAAGTACCTCATTAAGGATTCAGAAAACTTGCAGTGCCTAAAGGAAAAGGGGGAAAAACCCACAATGGTCTGGTATAAGCGTCATTAAAAAAAAGTTATATTTTCCTCATTCTTAATGAAGGACCAATGAACAAAGTCTTGTTGTGGTAGAAAACAGTGGCTGCTTCATATTTATTTTTAAACAGAAGCTGCCTTTGATTGACTATGTGAAGGACTGATTAACTTTTCTGGCATAAAGGGAGCAGCCATGTCTGGGCATTTTATCTCAGAGAAGGTTTTCTCTAATGTGCTCTCCTACCCTCTATCTGTTTCAGTAGATGCTCAGGAAAAGGAAGATTCTGTTAAAAGCCCAGACTGCGTGGAAAGACTGGCACGAAAATACATGGTAAATTTAAAAATTGCTGCTTCTCTACCTGCCTATTAAAATACAATGCAGAAAGTGTTTGTTGGTTTGTCCTTGGCCTGGTGATGCAGCTGCATCAGCTGGAAAAGATTGTATGAAGAACAGGTGTGGATGAATTAATTTAAATGGGAGGGATGGAGGTAACTCCTCCACTTGTGTGCTACCCTCTGGGGACGAGGTTTGTTTTTAAGTTCTCTTTCTAAGCAAGAGCTTCAGAAAATATGAGAGTGTTTTGAGTCATTCATCTGCAGTTACATTTCTGAGCTGTAGGGTTACCAAATGCAAAGAAACAAACAGAACCACAGCACAAATTAAAAAATGTTTTGTAAAGCTACTCACAAGCCTGGAGTAACCATTGTTAGCAAGTGTGAGGCATGTTCAGGACTGCTTCCCTTTGTGGTTTTGGGGGTGAGGAGTGATGAGAGAGGCTTTCATTTTCCCCTTATGTCTCACTTGCACAACCCAACCAGCACCACAGCTGTGGGATATTTGGGAAGATGAGCTCGCTTCAGGTGGGGAAGCTTTAGAGAAATTCAGCACCTGCAGCTGGTACTAGAACTAAAGCTTCAGCCGGAAGCTGCAGTAACTTCTGCTTTGAGTGGATTTTCTTTTTTTTCCTCCTCTGCAGCAGAAGTGCACAGTGGAGTCAAGCACAGAGTCTGAGAATGAATCCAGGGCAGAGGTAAGGACTGACTCTGAGGTGTTCTGATGGTGATGTGATTTCTTGATGTGTATCCAACTCCTCCTTCAGCCTCAGTAGGGAGCATCCAAGGCATGTTGTGGGGTTGTTGGTTTTGTGACTGGAAAAAACCCAAAGCAACCCCAAACCCAATACTCCCCTTTCTATTGGGCTCTTTCTTACAGCTGTTACTAACTTTAGAAAAGTTGATTCTAGGGGGATAAGGCAGGAAAGAGACAGTGTTTTAGGCAGACAAATGCTAAGAAAATGCTGACCTGAGATGTTCCTGGTGGTTAACTTTCAGCAGCTCTGGTCCAGTGAGATTTCTACAGCTCTGGGTGGAGAACCTCCACCTTCTGACTGTCCCTTTTGGAGGAGATTAAGAGCAGCTCTGTTGCTGTGGCAGTTAGTTATGGATATTGGAAACTTCTTGAACATTGCTCTGTCAAACCAGTGTGTTTAGTGCTGATGAAAAATGACCTGATGCTCTCAAGTGGAGAACAAAATAATTTGTGGGTAAAACTCTTTGGAATTGATGCTCACTGTTGGTCCATGTGAATCACTGTGCTTTGGGACTTGGTGAAGCTGCCTGCCAGGAGTCTGCCACCACTTCACCTTCCAGAAAGGTCAGGGCAAGGCTGGAGCTGTTCTCCTGTGGAAACCAGGCTGGAATCCAGCTGTGTGCTGGCTGGGCAGGGTGCAAGGGCAGCTCACACAGGGCCCAGCCTGAGCAAGGAGCTGGCTGCTCTCACCAAGGGTGCTGAGGCAGGACTGGGGGATTTCTGTGCCCTTTGGAGAAGCAGAAGGGCTTTGTGGGGGTGCCTCTGTCCTTGAGGCAGCACAAGAATAATGGTCACAAATGGGCTTGGACTTCAGCTCCTCTGACAAAGCCTTTGGTTTCCTGGTCAGCCCAGATTCCCAAGCCCTGCTTTGTCTCAGCTATGCTCAGTTCTCCCCCTTCCCACTGGAAAAAGCATGGCACTGACTGGCAGGGTGTTCTCTGAGCACTTGTGGTGGATCCTTTTCAAGAACTTTCCCACTTTCCTTGCTGTTAACTTCTTTTCCTTTGTGAGACTTGGTACCTGGGGTTTGCTCTCTAAAGGGAGTCTCCCTAAGTGGCTTTTTTTCTTAAATTAATAGGCCCAGACTCTAAGCACTATTTCAGGATTTCAAATCATCCCCATGTGAAAGAACAAAAAGGGACCTGAGTGGGAGGGAAGGTCTCTAAACTGTATCCTGACTACTATTATTTAATGCTGGTTTGGTTTATTTTTCTGGTGGCATGTAATTACTAATTTTTCTCTTTAATTCAATGCTTTAAGTGCACTAAGACTTACCCTAACTCTATTTTAGGCTAACTTTACCAACCCTTTAAAAGTTAGACTGAGACACACTTTTTATTGTCTTTTAGCAAAGTGACAATCTGGCTTCCTCTTCTCTAGGATTTCCACCTAGAGAAATTCTGTTTTTCATTTGATAACTTATGGGAAAGTGCCTTATAAACCTATGTTAATTTCTCTTAAATAGGTTGTGCCTAGCCCACTTTCTGGAGGACCCAAGAAAGCAAAGGAATCCAGAAGACTACAAGTAGGTTTTGGGTATTACACAGTTCTTGGTGTCACATCCAAAAACTAAAACAGAGGTAGGAGCGTGTGGATAAACAGAAAAGCTTCCACAGTAAGTCTGTGACTTAGGTTGAAAGGGATTTTGAAGTCCATTGTATGTTGCATCTTGTTTGTTTTTTTTTTTTCTTTAAGGACAAATAATCCTCCACTGTGTTTAGGGATGTTTATTTTAGTTTGTAGATCCTTATGATGGTGACTCAGAAGATGCATCTGTTCACACTGACTGTGGTATAAAAGATGCACCATGGAGAAACAGTGCCTCAAAAGCAGTGCCTTTGGAGGGTGCTGATACTTCAGAGGATGAAGAATCCTCCCCTAATCCCCCAAATGTCAGTGAAATTCAGGCAGTACATGACTGCAGAGCAGCCCTGGAGCTCCCTGGCCAGAAGAAGGGTCTGTTGCAGTCACCTCCAGGCCCAGGAGCATTTATCCCGGCGGGGCTGACACCTGACCACGCCTCACCGAGGGCTGTTAACCCTTCAGTCTCCGCGGGTCTCCCTGCAATCCCGGCTGGCACTGCTCCACAGCCCCTGCTCGCAGCTCACTGTGATGGCACAATGGCAGAGCAGCCCATAATTAAAAGAAAACAAGGGATTCCTGCTCCAGAGGGTGCTAGTGAAAAACTAAAGAAATTCCGTACCACTTAACCTAAGGGATGAATAAATCATTGGACAGACTGTTCTGGAGGATCATTCTGGTAGAGATTTCTTTTGCAGTGTGTACCTGAACTAACCAGGCTGCCTCAAGCCTGTTACAAATGCACTGCACTGTACAGTAAGCTCTGAGCTCCACCTGAAAAACTGAATCAAACAAGTTGTGTGGCAATTCCAGTGAACACGAGCAAGGGTCTATCCACAGCATGACAGACCAGCTCCTCTGGAAGCAGCAGCCCAGAGTGCCCAGGTCCTCTGGAAGCAGCAGCCCCAGCTCCTGTGTGCAGTACCTGGAGGCAGCTGCTCAGTTTCAGTGTAATCTCACCAACACTGACAAGGGTTTGTCAGGAGGGAAAGAAGAATGACCCTTGGCTGCAATTATCTTCCTGGCAATTCCAGTGAAAACGAGCAAGGGTGTATCCACAGCATGGCAGACCAGCTCGGTGCCCAGGTCCTCTGGAAGCAGCAGCCCCAGCTCCTGTGTGCAGTACCTGGAGGCAGCTGCTCAGTTTCAGTGTAATCTCACCAACACTGACAAGGGTTTGTCAGGAGGGAAAGAAGAATGACCCTTGGCTGCAATTATCTTCCAACAGCTATGGCTTGTCTGGCACCTGCTTCACTGGTGTTTGGCTCCTGCTGTGCCTGACCTCCCTCCGAGTGGTGAATGATACAGGTTTGACTGCCAACAGCTGAACTGACTGCAACTGCTGGCAATCCAGCATTCATTTTCTGCTTCAAAGGGGGAGAAGTTGTCTAATTGCTGTTAACACAGCTGCTCCTTCCTTGTTTGACCAATGTTTTGGGCAGTTTCTGTGTAGCTGCCAGAACAGTGTTTACAATGTGATGTGGAACACATTAGCTCAGAGCTGCTTAGTGAAAGCAATCATTCAGGAGCTGCAGGAATGGTGCCCACAGATGGGAGACCAGTTAGGGAGCAAAGCCTGTCTCTCTGATCTCTCTTTCCTGTATGGTAATTTCTTTAATCAGGTTTAGAATCTGGGTAGTCCATTTGTGTGGGAGGAGAACTACTAACTATGAAAGTATAATGATGGCTTGAAAGATGTTAGTACCAGCAACTTGTTTTTGTACAACTGGCAGAGATTTTTAGTTTCTAGTTTCTTTCATAGGACGGAAAGCCATTCAAAATATTATTTAACTGCTAACATTGCACCCTTCCACCTGTGTATATATTTTATTAAAGCAACTTCTCTTTCATCCTTATTCCCCTAGCTGGAAATGGTTTTTAATCAGCTTGGAACATATGTGGTTAAACAGTAAGTTTCAGAGGCTTTTGACCCAAGACAGAAGCTACTGTGGTTGCCCCTTGACTTGTTCAGAGGCAAAGATGGCTGCAGTGAAAACTGTGAAGTTAATTGAAAAAACCCCCAAAAAAACCAACAACCAACCACTTGCAGCTATAGATTTGTGTGTAGTGTGACTAGGCTACAGCTCTCTCTGGAATGAAGATGAGTGACAAGCTTAAGAATACAACACTGTGAGGCAGCCAAGCCCCTTATTTTAAATCCTATTAGACAGCCTAGCTCTCAGCCCCATTGGCTGAGGCTAAATAAAACTGAAGCCCCTGACTTTCAAACTGCAGCCAACACCCCTGAACTGACCTAAAGAGGATTTTACTTAAAGCAGCTGTTTCACACAGCATGGAAAAAACATGACAGGAGAGGAAGTAAGTGGAAAGGTAAGCCACATGGGACAGTATCTACTCATTGGAATATGTTTATTCAGTATGAGAATCCAGATGTGCATTAACCTAAAACCTGAAACTGCACCTTTTGTTAATTCAGGCCTAATGCAGAAGTTAACATAAAAGAGCTGAGGAAGAGTGTGCTCAAGCTCTAGGGTAGCTGAGACTCTTGATCTCCCCATCAGTGTTTGCCAATAGGTGGAACTGGTTTAGGCAGTTTTAATAGTAGCTGTAAGTGGTGCCACAGCCCAGGTCTGTGAGCTGGGCACAAACAGCAGCTGCTGAAAGGGAGGTGCATGTTCAGTGGAGTTGCCAACAGCCAGCTCTTCATTTAAGCTAATAATTCATACTGCAGCTGGTCCCCAGAGCATGCTGCTAGCAGGAGGTGCTTTTTTCTGTAAATATAATTGAAACTATGCTGGAGGCACTAATACCAGTTTCAGACATTCTGGTGCTGGAAAGCAAAGTCTCTCACAGAGGCTGAGACAAAGCAAAGGCATTAGAGTTACAACTCATCTTGGATCATGCTGCATGTAGTTCTCATCTCTGTTCCTCACAACTGGGTAAGAACTGCACAAAGATTATTAAACTGCACGTGCTTCACTGGTCTGGGATTCACACTTTGTAAAGTAACAAAACCAGGACAGTTAATCGGGGATTAACTTTGCAAAACAGTAGGGAGAGGGCAGACAGCAGAATTCTGTTTTAGTAAACAGCAAGCATTGACCAAAACAAGTATGTGAGGCAGGTGGAGATTGCAATTTTTCTTCCCAGTCCAGGCTTGTACTATAGAACCCCTTATCACAGAAAAATACCAGAGCTGATGGAAGTCACTGCTTTCATATGAGCAATCAGTGAAGGAAGGGCTCCCAGGATTTCAGTTTTGAGATTAGAAAGCTGTGTACTGCATTCTTCACACACATCTTTGAACACTTGACTTTAGCCACTGTCAGAGAGGACAGCTGTTCTGAGAGGATGATCAGAAAGGCAGAAATGCTTAGCCAACAAATTCAGGATCAGAAAAAGCAGGCAAATGCCCAAACCATTACAGCAACCCAAGCAATTAGCAGGAACTCTCAGCTTTCCTAATTTAGTAACGGTTGGTCACATGTGAGAGTCTCAAATAATATTGTAACTCCTTGTGTAAGCATTTTATAGCCTCCTCTTGGGTTACTGAGACAAATCTGGAGACATATTTTACCATAAAAGCAGTTTAAGAAAGAGGAAGCTCTGGGGTCAATAGGACAAGAAAGTATAGTTCAGGATGCTTCAGCTTCTCAATGCATTGTAGCAGGTTACTTCAAGTAAGACCCAGTCCATTGCAAGTAATTAATGCAATGGCCTGATTGTCACAGCAGCTATCAGGTTTTGTGTCTTACTGTACTACAGACTTACACTCCAAGGTTCCTGTTACTGGAGGTTAGCTTGAAGAGCAATTCATAGTTATTCTCTGAAAAGATCATGGGTATATGTTTTCCCGACCAAAATCATCACTAAGAATTAGATTAACAAAAGCAGATGGTCAAAATTTTTGCTATATATTTTATTTAATATAACATAATCCATCAAATATCACATCTACCAATAACCCTCTAAAAACCTCATTCAATCTTCCTTCAAAGAAATCTCTCCAGCCTATCAGCTTCCCATTGCACTGTCACCTTTCCAGCCAACTTGACACAAATCCATCTGCTAACCTACCCTGATTAAAAAAGTACAGGTGAGCACTACACAAAAGACTGACACTTACTATAGCACTAACCAGTGAAAATAGATTTGTTCACTCAGTGCAGAGAACTGCAACACCACGTTCATAGAAGCTGCGGGGATCTTCCTTGGTGGCTATTTCAAAGTCAACGGTGAAAATCAGATCAGCACGAGTGAAGTTCAGATAAACTGGTAAAGTAACCTGGGGAAAAACATGAACAGAGAAGAGTTCTGTAAGACAGCTGAAGAGTGTCACAGGTTTCTGTAAATTATATGGTACCAATGAGATGGGAATTTAACTCATATGTACTCAGTACTCAAAATATGAGGAAAAAACCCCAAGACTTAATAAATTCACATATGCTGCTATAGATATAAATTTGAGTTTTGACTTGAACAGCATTTTTGGATGTCTCTCCTTTTTATCAATCTACAAAGGAAAGACACAATCAGCACTAGGTCTGTTTGCTGCTAGCCCTGAAATCAGATGCCAACTGACAGCAAGAGTAATTAGAGAACACCAATTTGATTTGTTGTGCCTGGTACAAGAATCCATAAAGCCTTAGGAAAGAATTGCTGGGGATATCTAAATATTTTCATCAATACTTACAACATTTGCTTTTTTATCAGCGTTTGTCTGCTTGATCCAGCGAAGCTGTGTAATGGGCAGGACAGTTGAAATAGCATTTGAAAGCGACAGCTTGTTGTTACTGCATGTAGCTCCCTGAAGCTTCAGGCCTGTAAATTGCAATGCAGTTTAGAGTTATAAGAGCTTCCATACATCCAAAGGCTGTCTCCCTCTGTATCATTTAAGGGCTAAGTCCACTAAATGAGAAGTATTTCATACTGCAAAATGAAGATGTTGTAGGTCATACACTATGCAATACCACTTCAATATATACTGACCTGAGATTTATTAGCATTGGAAGTACTTCCTAATAACTAATCTGAAAATACTTTCAGAAAGCATGTATTAACTTTTTCAACAACAACATCTTTTTCATTTGACATAGCCCATTTAATACCAGAAGCTTCTGAAAACATTTCAGAGGAAGGTCCCTTCCTTCAGCTCAGTTTACCTGTGACTCCAAAGCTGCAGGCATCCAGGACTGCATTCTGGGTAGTTGTAACATTGACCTCAAGACAGAGTTCTTCAAGGGACCAGCTGTTTGCCTGGGCAACATATTGTCTTGTAGCAGTAATATATGCCTCTGGTACAAACAGGCCACCCAGGCACACATGGATGTTCTATTTAAGGGGGGAAAATATAGGGGGAAAAAAAGTATTTCAGCTGCAGTATTAATTAATGACCAGTACAAATTCTTCAGCAATGTATTTACATTAAAATGGTCCTACTGCTACTGGAACACAGTGTAACTGCTAAGATGCTTTTTGCTCTGAGGCTTTGTCTCCCACTGTTCCACAATACTAATGCTCCTCTGATCTCTGTGCAGTTACCCTGCTAAGCCTCACCACGCTGTGATCAGGAGATGCTCAGCAGCATTCACAGACATTTCAGAGAACTGGCTCAAGTTCATTGACTGAGAGGCTATTTAGAAGTCCTGATGTGAAGACTCCAGAAAGCAGTTACACAGCTCCACCAATAACCCCAAGAAGTCAGCACAAGGTACCTTCAGTTCTTTTGCTCCACCAGATGCAGCTGCCTGGGAAATATTCTGGAGCTGTTTGATGCGCTCACTGAAGTCAGACACCCACTGGATAACAGTCATACCAGCTGGCACTGTGTAATGAGACCAGCTACGAGGCAAAATACCTACAAAGATGTGATTAGAATTAAGTTTGGTTCACATACAGAAACTACACACTATTTGGTTGAAAGGGTGAAATTACACACTATACTGAAACTATATTGAAAGTAATACTTGGACTGGAATATCAGCCTCTATTTTAAAAGGCCCTTCAGTAAGTGAAAACACTTTCAAGGATCACAGAGCAAATGGCCTCTAGGTCTACTTTGTATTTAAAATGCCACCCACTTACAGATATCCTTCAAGAGCAGCTGCAGTTACACACAGCTTTTTATTGCAAGACCTAAGCTTCAGCTCTGCATGAAGATTTGGGTTCTTTAGAAGAAAAATGAAGAGATCAAGTATCTGTGTTTCAGAAAATGCTTTTGTTCAAATCACCACGTATTACATCATAAAGCATGTCTGTGAAAATTCTACGTGTATGTACAATCTTTAAATAGAAATTCAGAGAACTTGAATATTTTCTAGATTTTATAGGACCAATACTGCTCATTTGGTGGTATAAATAACTTTGTTCTGTCACAAGTCAGAAACTGAGAGAATTTAGTAAGATTTCAGCCCAGAAATTAAGCTGCTAATATAAATCGTACAAAAAAGCCTAACAATATTACTATTAAAGCTGAACTACTATATTAGAGCCTAATTATCAGGCTATTATCAACCTCAGCTTGAAATCTCATATCAAGCCAATGGGAATTTTATGCTCAAATTTAAGTATTACTTGTGTCAAATGACAAAGTCTATCCACATTTTTCTACCATTTTTGGGTTTTTTTAAGCTGCTGACCACAGCAGCCTCTTACAGAGTGCAAGAAGCAAAGAGAGCCCTGGGAGATGCTAGCTGGAATTGCCATACCTTTCACCAGCTCATTTATCAGTGTACGCAAATAGTTGGTTTGTTTCTTTTTCCCTTCACACACTTGAACCACATCTGCCAGGTCCTGACGAACATCCTGCAGCAGCTTAGCTCCCATTTTCACCTCTCTCTCAAAGAACCGGAACAAAGGATCCTGATGGTCAAAACATTCAAAAGTAAGATGCAGATCAAAGGTCTTGCTGGAAAACTGTTATGAAAAACAATCCCCAAAGTCTGGGTGGATGGAGCAGTAACACTGACTAC